CTTGTAAAGCACCCACTTGAAGTTCTACAAATATAAATTTTTCATCCCTTTTATTTTGACTTCTCTTTTTAATGTGATTGTTGTTGTTGTACTTGTAGTTGTGTTTATTTTGGTTAAAGAAGTATACTTTATTTACATTTTCTTTTCTTTGTAATGTGATTGCTGTTATTTTACTTGTAATTGTGTTTATTTTGGTTAAAGAAGCACACTTTATTTACATTTTCTTTTCTTTGTAATGTGATTGCTGTTATTGTACTTGTAGTTGTACAAATGTAAATTTTGTAGCCTTTCATTTTGACTTCTCATTTTAATGTGATTGTTGTTATTGTACTTGTACTTGTGTTTATTTTGGTTAAAGAAGCACACTTTATTTACATTTTCTTTGTAATGGGATTGCTGTTATTGTACTTGTAGTTGTACAAATGTAAATTTTGTAGCCCTTTCAGTTTGACTTCTTTTTTTAATTTGATTGTTGTTATTGTACTTGTGTAAGTCTAATTTTTGCAGTTGTAGTTATTTTTGACAATTCATATGTTGTGCACATGTAAACTCTAATAATATAAATAGATAATAGTGATGCAAGACACAGAACCGTCAAGTGGAACAAGGGGCCCATCCACTTCCTCCGATCAAAGGGAAAAGGTATAATACTCAATTTACTTTAGTTCATGATTTACATTAATTAGACAATTATTATAATGTTAATAATTATTAACATATTTTATTGAATCCATTTCAGAAGAAAAACAATTTTCGTATTAATGAATCAACTAAGACCCTGGGAAAATGGGAGTTGGATATACGACAGGTAGCTTTAGTTGAAAAAACCAATTTGATATCCTGGAAAGACATAGGGGTCACACATATCGATTGCAGTCTACTGAGGGCCTTTATTGGAAAGTGGTGCAAGGTCACTAATACCGCACGATTAACTATTGGTGAGATGACTCCAACCCTGTACGATCTGTGGCACATATTACGGATACCTGTGATAGGTGAGCCTGCAACAGGCATAAGACCTAAAGACTACATGGCTTTCATCATGGAGTATTTGGGAGATTGCCTTAATGGTGATAAGTTGAGCCGACTAAAACATATTTGGTTGAGGACGAAATTTGAGCAACTACCAAAAAAATACACAACTAAC